CTGTAAGATCAACTAGAGCCGAATTAGGGGAGGGTCTATGGAGGGCTGTAGCCCCGGGCCCCAGGTTCCAGGGGGATCTCGTTCTAAACCTTCCATTTCGTTATGATTCAATTTTATTTAAAATAAATTTCAATTCTTGAAGATTTATGTATGTTGTCGTGTTGTATTACAAAAAAATCGCCCACCCCCATAGTTTTCTACCAAAGGGCCCCCCAAAATTTATATAATAACCCTGGGCCACAAAAAATCTTAATCCGGGCCTGAGATCAATTTTTTGTACCTTCGAGATGTCTCAATAATAAAGAAAGAACTAAAAAGTGTAAATATCAAAATTCTTTTCTTTTCACTATAACTATCCCTTACTACATTATCAATTATATAAACATTTGTCTCGATCTTCGGTAAGAACTTCAATTATTTTCGATCCTCGTCAATAGCCGAAATATAAATGTCCCAGACTACTTCTCCCACGACACATTACCCGCAATGCACCAGGTAAAGTATACACCCTTCCGTTCCGAGCCTTAAGGACACACAGGGCCCCACTGATATTAATAATCTCCTGTCGAGGGTGAATAAATTACTTCCGTATCTGCATAACCGTTTAGGATTGGAAAGTGATTAAATTCCCGTTTTCTTCGAACCGCCAGAAATCGGCGGCCGAGAGATCCTTATCGGCACGACCTCGCGTACGTTCCTTTTACGTGAGTCAATCCTTTACGATTCATGGCTCGCGTATCCTATTCGATGACGTGCAAAACCAGCACGTGACGCACACACCGCTTCCTGATTCATACTTCCGATCCCGACACGGAGGAACACACGACCGTCGATTTTATTCAGCGTTGAATCCCTTTTCGACGACAGTCCCCAGATCACGGCGCAATTTCGATAATTTTCCAATGTCCTCGCCTACTTCCCCATTCGTACTTCCGATCTCGACTCGGAGAACACGACCGTTGATTTTACCCTACACCACGGCAAGATGTTTCGGCTGACCACCAATGTCTGCGCCTACTTCCTGATTCATACATCCGATCTGGACTCACAGGAGAAGGATCCTACCTGTCCGACTTGGACTTCAACGGGGTTTTATATTCATAGGACATCTTAAAGGTAGGTAACTTTAGTTGTTTAAATCTGTAAAATTATAGACTGTCTATATCTAAATAATAGATATATATTATTTCACATATATCATTCAGAGCCTGTATCCTATCATCTTGCAAAACCCCGTAAAAATTAAAGTCGAACAACTAGGGGTCCTTCCCTTGTCAGAACACAACCATCAATTTTACAAGGCGAAGAATTCCTTTTCGACGAAAATCTCTAAATCACGGCGATATTTCGGTAATTCTCCAATAATCGCATCTATTTCCTGATTCATACCTCCGATCTCGACTCGGAGAATACGACCGTCGATTTTACTGAATGCAGAATTCCTTTTTTATAAGATTCCCTAGATCACGGCGAAATTTCGGCGGTTCTATTTCCTCATTCATACTTCGAACTGGGACTCGGAGAACAAACCGTCGATTTTAGTGAACGTAGAATTTCTTTTCGAGGAGTCTGTAAATCACGGTGAAATTTCTACCGATCTCCGATGCCCACAACTCTCTTCGGAAAACTTCTATCTCTCTATCTCTCTCTCAGAACCTCTAGTTCGTGGATTAAAGCTGATTTATGCGACGACGCTCGAATGTTAACCGGTTGCCCCAACGTCGATCGGTCTACGAATTGTTGCCCCGCAACAACCGGGTGAGAAACCGCTTGCTCCGAATTTCATCGTAGTCCGACATATGGCCCGTCCTGGTTGCCGCACGGTAAACGATAGTAATCAGTCGCGATTATGCAAATTATTCGGTGACTGGCTGCAACAGTTAGTCGGGGCCCCGTACGTTTCTGGGGTATCAATGAATCCTTCTTCTTTTGATTCCCTGCAAACAATGTACCCCTGGACGTATTTACCGCTCGATTCGACGATTCTTGACCGGTTACAAAAAGAAGTCCTTGAAGCTCCACGGCGGACGCGCTCGAATTCGATGAATTACGGGACCCCGCGTTGATTATAAACATCGCGCCCGACGAAGGTGTGCAATTACCGACAGTGTGTCGCATTGAAATTCGGAGTTGTCGGTTCCAATCGGAATGGGACACGTCGCGCGTATGGTATTAGCGAGGTGTACGAATATAGGGTGTTGTAAATAACTTCGGAGCGAGAGATTGGTACGTTGGAAAACGGAAACACATCATCCATCGATTAAAATCAAAGCGTAAAAGCCATTGTGCGAATAAAGGACCTGTTTGAACCTCATATTGTAATATGCAATGGCTACATTTAAACCCTTTTTACGAAACTGTATCAAAATTAAGGACAAATTGTAAAAACGTGCTGATCTGTATCTACGTAACATTGTGTAAGAAATATAAAATATAAAAAGTTTATATAATGCAAAGAATTACTGAAAATTAAATATATTATCAAGTTAAATCATTCTAAACCCAGTGTGAAAGTTGAAGGATATAAATTCTGAATGGAAAGCGAAAACTAGATACAACTACGCTGATTCGGGGTACTATTGTATTAATTCCAGTTCTGATGTATCCAAATACAGGGACCTCGCGATTATTGTCCCGAACTCGGGTCCGCGTCGGGACAATAATCGTGGATCAACAATCAGTAAATAATCGCGAGGTCCCTGTAAAGCTAACCTTCGGAAAAAAAATTAAATTTTGCAGATTACACAGTGACGACCAAGAGTTTAGTATGATTGTACAAACTAGACTGTTACTACTTGTCCTTACCATCATTACGTTATAAAAATGTGAACGGAACAGAAATTTATATTCCGTACTAAAGGTTAAGATTAAAATGAAAATTACATTTGGTTTCACTGAAGTGTGTATTTTATTAATCTCTTTAAGATTATGTTTTATCCGACTGGAACAATTGCGTGAAGAAACGAAATGGGAAAGTAGCCAGCGTTCAATAAACTTTACAGATCAATTGGAACTGACGTATAAAAATTCATCCGACAATTTTGAGATCGATACGATCCAGATCCCGCAGCATTGCTACAAGAATCGAAGGGCAGGGACCCCGACGTTGTTTTTTTCTATCTGTCCACGATGGGAAATATAAAGTGAGCCAGGCTGATAACGACCTCTGGAATGTTAGATAAAACCGACTAGGGCCAACTGCGAGTTAGTTAGCAGCAACAGTTGGTGTGGGTGTTTGTACGTACGGGAACAAGAAAGAAAGGTGGATGCCCTATATCGGTAGAATGTGAACTTTATCAGTCTTTCAGGATCCAGCGTACAACGACAACTCGCATTCTATATTTTTTCCTTTTTACGAGCGGACATAAAGTCTAGCTACGATGCATCGTAGATGAGACGTCGATGATCAAATGATACGGGATAACAGCCACGTAAACTGTTACAAATGATTATTTTCTATGCGATATAGTTGATAGAAATTTTGCCTTTTCAAGCCACTTCCATTTTCTTTAACGAAATACTATACTTTTGACCTCATCATTGTATAGGACATTCAAAAGTAAGTACTATATGGTATTATATGACCTTCGAATGGCCTTGATAGGGGAAATTTTGCCCCTTTACTGTGTAATGGTACCAAGTGGTGTTTCGTTTAAAAAAATATAAATGACCTTGAAAACTCAATTCTTACTCTATCTGATAATATTTCACATATCAAAATAATGTGTCGTTTGTAATCGTAAAAATTTCAAAAATCAAATTTTTGGTATCTTAATTAATTCACAAGACATTTATCTTTAAGGACGAATTCCTTCTGGTGCCCCTATGAAAAATATCATTTAAATGAATGTTTTTTTAGAATATAGAACATAGGAAAAGAAAAGTGCTTTTTTAAATGAACTTTGACTGGAACATTGTACATGTTTCATAGTTTCAGAAAATGCACAAATAACAATTCGATTATTTTCACCTCCCCCAAAGACACTTCAACGGTGGACGAGAGTTCCTGTAAGAAACTGTATCGAGAGCTCATAATCTGGTTCAGTTTTGCACAACAGATGGCACTAGTAAATAAATGGAAGTCGAAAGATCAGTAACCCCGATAGGAGAATAACGCGCATTAACTCTTTGTTTACTTGAACCCTCTAGTATACTTTCACTCTGCTCAATTCAATCCGCTCTTATGTTTCTATGTACATTTACCTGCACACCGTGAACTTACAGCTTGAAAAAAGAAACCAGGACGAGGCAAATCGTTCCCTTTGTTAACCGACGAATCAATATTTCGAAATGATTCCCGTGAAAATTTCTCAATTGTAACGATACTTGAAACAATGCTCGGTTGCACAAGCTAGGAATATTAAGAGTGAAATCAATTCAAGTGTTGTACCCGCGTTGATATACATTGACAGGGTCAAATCTTGTTTTGTATTTGTATGATAATGTATTCGTTAACAGCGACGGGTACGTTATCCGTCGTAAGTTGAGAACGGCGCACGGGTAAAGGCAGGAGAAATAAAATTGTATACGAGCGAGTGGCCAAGAAAGGAGGAACAATACATCAAGACGCACAGCGACCGCGTGCTCTTTTTCTGTTTTCTTCTCTTTTTTTTCAGGCTACGGTCGAGGTAAACACCGCAGCACGTTTCGTGGCGCCCCCTAACTGATAAAATGCCATCGAAGCACACTCATGTCTTTCGGTCGCGCATGTGAGAATCACAGCGTGACATACGGCTCGCGGTCGAACTGCAAACGTGATAGCCGTTCAAAGGTGTCGGAACCCCACGCTGTCATTGATAGTAATAAAGTCGATAAGCTGACATAACCTCAAAAGGTGACGAGATAACGCGTACTCGAAGGAGCGTGAACTCACGACCACGCCACCGCCACGCACGCCAGATACTGGCATGCTTCGATGGTGGGGCCACCGTGCCGAACGGCCGACCCCTTCCGCGCACATTTAGAAACCGTCGAAAATGTATTCTTGTGTCAGTACTTACCCTCGTCTGAGTTGTCCAGGTCTTCTTTCTGGATGTCGGATATATCTGAAACCCACAAACACCACGGGTTAGCTGAAAATCCCTCGTGTTTTCGGGCAGCCCCGTTCGATCCACAGGCACTCACTCACCCGCCATGTTGTAACAAACTGCAACGCGCCCCCGTGGCCACACATTTAACTTCGCGTATCGAGAGATCGTTTCCTTAATATTGTCCGGTCGCGGTATCGATATTGCTAATTTTAAATTCTCATTTCAACGATCATTCAAATTGCAAATTCGAAATTAACCGTTACGCGATACCGTTTTTACTTAATTAATAGATGAGTCATTGAAAATGTAGAGAAACAGAAGAAATTAACTATTTTATGAGGTTCTAATAGTATAGCAATATCGAACAAAGTAAAGTGGATTTAAAATTAGATGTGTGGTATTATGTGCAAGTCTTACAATTTATTTTTAAAAATTCCGAAACATTTTCAAATAATTACGAAAGTATGATGAGTAAAACTTTAATCCATTACGCAGATATAAAATATTTTGGAATAAAAATACAAAAAATATAAAACAAGATGTGATTTATATATATAATACATAAATAATATCCTAAGATTTAGAATAGATTGTTATGAATGAAAATCAACAGAGTTCTTAGAAAAGTTCTGCAAAGTTATACATATGATAACATTTTATGTCGTCACAAGAATTTAATACAAGTTATGTATATATATGTATATATATTTATATACGATTCTTCTTCCAATATGTACTACAAGATATCAGTGTTTTGCAGTTCTCTAAGATAAATCTTACTTTACAGCACAAATTTAGTTACTTGCTTGTCAATATTGACAAGTACAGTTAACAGGTAATGCAGACTTTCATAATTTAAGAGAGAAGAACTTCAAGTTCATGGACAAAATAGTTTCTACATATTTGTGAGCCAGTCACAAATATTAAATTGGAAATATACAACATACTGTGTGGTAGCAATTTAAATGTAAATTGCAAATATATTTTTCTCAATGTCTACAGTGTAAAAAAAATATTTTAATTTTATTTTGAATATTTTACTTTTGATATCTAATTAAATGCAAATTGTATACATGCAAACCTAGAGAAAATATATCGCACAGCCAACAGATGTACGACAACATTTCTCTGTGTTTTCAACTAGCAATATGATAATTTATATATCACATCTATAGAATTAAAAATAATATTCAGAATACACCCCAGAAACGTGATGTAGTTAAATGCAACTGTGCTTTCTGTGATTGATTTGTAGTCCTTCTCTTGATTTAAAATACTGTATTGTAAAAAAAGAAATGCACAGAATACTATAATCATATCCATTATATGATGCAACAGGCGGATTGTAATTGTGATTATCTTGATGACAGTTCCTGAGAATTGTGTAATATGAAAAAAGTAGTGGAAGAGTATTAATAAATGCTGGTATGCTAAAGTAGTGTCATGTGTTATCAACAGCTACTTCTTCAATTGTAGCCCTACACATTGGACATTCTACCAGTTGAACCGCACACATTTGGCAAAATCCTCTGAAAGAGTATTTATGTTTATATTTAATATGAAATATCAGTTAACGCAAAACAATATCTTATTCATATAAGTGAAGTAAATTTTTTATATATTACCTGTGATTGCATGGTACTAATCTCACTGAAGCTCTTTGGTCAAAACACAATGTACACGAGTCTTCTCTAACACTAAGTTTCCTCAGTTGATCCAAGTATATGTGTCTAGGAAGCACAACCTTATCCTCTGGTTTCAGAGTGGCATAGTCATTGAATTTTTTATATTCACGATCAGCAGGAGGATATTTAAATGGTACATTTCCAAAGTTAAAGAGACATTGCTGGAATGACATGAAACTAGCTGCAGCAAAGAATCCGGACCTACAGTATTTATAACATGCATTGTTATTCTATTGATTTAAATTTTACTGAATCCTCGAGTAAAAGCAAAACTGTACATACTTCACTGTTTTAAAAACTTGAACACAAGGTTTAAGCGGTACACCATTTATAGAGAATATTATTTCGCATTTGTTTAAGTCTAATAGACAACCTAGAACGTCGCCAGCTTTCCAACAGGTTTTTTCATGATACTTCGTACACCTTCCATTGTACCAAATTCGTCTACGACAACCATCGTAGGCCAAAGAAAATTTATCATCACCTATACCATACCCTTCCTAAAATGACAATGTAAAATGAACAACATTAGATCCTACATAGATTCGAAATATATAAATTGGAATATAAAATCTCACATGATTCAAAAATGTGCTATCCTTTGTAGCCCAACCAATTTGCATTACTCCTGCAGTTATTAACAGTGTTTCATAGTACCAAGTGCCTGAATTCACTTGAAATGTGCATCTTACACTTTCAAATGAGTATGCATCACATCGAGCCTATGATTATTATAGAAGAAATAGTTATGAGTTATGATATACAACTATCTTTTTAATAAGTTGGATGTTATATTAAATGGACTCACTTCCAAACCGTTGGGTGATATTTTCAGGTACTCGCTTACATCATTTGTATTTAGCATAACATTAATGCCAGTCATATCAATGGAATCATGTGAATATTTCCTACCTTCCATCAAAACTGAAATAAGGAAACATACATTGGCTATTTCTTGTTCTTTTTGATATCGCATATGATACAAACTTCTAAATACTTACATAAGTTATCTAAACTCCACTGTGCACAGAATCCTACTTGTCTACGTACATAATGAGTTTCTGTTGCCCATTTTTCCAATTCTAACAGTGGGTTAGGTTCTTCTACCATTAAACGTTTTTTGATAGTTATTTTATTTTCGCCTATGAAAATACGAAATTAGTTGTATGCAAAATGAATCAATTGTTCAAATAAATCAAATGTCAAAACTATAGTTGTTTCTAGATTACTACAGTTATTACTTACTTGTCTGTGCAAATTTTTCCAAGGCTATTAACGAATACAGTACCACATAAGGATCAATATCTTCCCTCTAAAATGGTGTGTGAATTTAAAATGTGAACAAAATTTATAAAATACATTTCGTTTGCTTAATGATAAATGTAGAATACACTTACAAGATTGGAGACAAGATAATCTAAGGTTGCATCAGATAATATTGCAATACTTCTAGGACCAGCTAATTTTTCTGCTACACAACCCAGTACCACACAAATATTACATTGTTGAGTTGCAGTGGTTTGTACATTTCCAAGTTTTTGATATAATTGAAACATTTGTGACAATCTTTGAACTGACTCCTAAAAAATTCAAATACTTTTATTGGTAATTCTAATTATAAGAGACAAAATAAAGAAGTTATAAGTTGTGTAAGTACCTTTGAAGGTAGTGGACCATCATCTAATACAAGAGTAATGACTGAAGGACCTAATGGGTTGTGCATTGGAATAACATTGACCATTGAATTGATTACTTGTATCCATCCATCTTCTTTATCGGCAATTATGTGTAATGTTAACATTGCTGGTGGTGGTTCTTGTTCACTAAACATGAATATATTATAACAATGGCTGGTCACATGAACATATATTCATAATAATTTGTAACATCTAATACTTACTTATGAACAAGAGAACCAATAACACCCAATGTTTCAAGTACCAATTTATCAATATAAGCTGAATTTGGAAAGTTGAAATGTACAGTAGTTACACTGCTAGATGCACTTGTGCCTATATTAAATTCTGATAACACTGTATTTTCAGCTTCTGCATGATTCTGTCCATTATAAACCTCGTGTTCTTCTGGTGTATCTTTACACAAACAATTGCCCATTCCCACAATTTATATTGATACTCTTGAAGGCTTTCTATCACATATAAGTTCTACGTAATATATACACAGTTGAGTAACATGTGTATCATTAAATATTTCATTCAATGTAACAATTAACCAATTGAAATATAAAAACAATGATATCATATACACAATTTTACATCTATATGGATATCCATAGACATTGGAGCCAGATGCAAATATCGAACTTTGTTGTAGAACATATTAAAAACATATCACAAAAAAATGTGCTCCCTTGTCATAATTAATCAAATCTTTTATTTACATTCTTATACTTTTGTTCTCATTACATACATTTGAATACATGGATGAGTATGAATTCCACAAAAACATAATAATTAAAAATCAATTTACAGTTACAATATATAGGTATTGGTTACAATAGCATTTCAGAAAGAGAACAAATCTTAATAATAATAGTAATTTTTCCAACAACTTATTAGGTCATGTATGTGAATGTTACATACTCGTTTAGGAGCTGTCATTTGGTTATGTTTTCATAAAAGCCGAACCATGTTATTTGATTTTTCATAAACATTCACGAACTATGTACTTTATACAGTAGTTTGTGAAATCGTATCCACATTATTTTTTGGGAATAAAACAGGTATTCAGACGTTATTGCACACTTTAAATCGTATCTTTTAGGTTATGTTCTTGATAATCTTCAAAACAGTAATCTCAGCATAACAGGATACGCGCACTATACCCACTATACTATCTTTCACGCGAAGTGATCAATTCTAAATCATACATACGTAAGATAAACCTTTTAAGGTGGTTCGTACCTGACTCTCTAGTCAATAAAGCATCATATTAATAATTGGTATTAAACACCCGCTAATACATTTTAATAATGTATAAAAATTAAATATACGAAATTTAACGACATTTCCATTGATCATTCATCATTATATTGTAAATAAAAAATATATTTTGGTTAGTCGTATGACTCCACGGTGCTCCTTTCGGGCACTTTCGGGTACGTTTGGAAACGTTGTTTTTGTACGCATATCTAAATATATGTATACGTGACGCGTGTTCAATTTTCCCGCGTAGTCAATATTCAATATTCTTATATGTAAAGTTAATTATATTCTCGTGCATTATAATTTAAAAACTTAAAATTCACTAAAATACAAAATAAGTAAAATATTTTTTAAATGTATTTGTATTTCGCGGTATGACCCTACTTCAGCAACATTGCCAAGTCCTCACATAGTCCCAATAACCATCCAATAACCTACATATCCTGGACTTTCTTGTCAAATATCTTCCTGGAATGTTCGGCATGGTACAAGATTTAGTTCATTATCAGAAAGCTCAGGATTTATACTTTCAGTACCTAGTTTTTAGTTAGCACTTCTAATTTTCGTGAATAGAAAAGACTATACTTCCGGTAAGAAATCGTAAGACTGCCATAAGAGTAAGAGTTGTATTGAAAACTCAATTTTTGATAAGCTTGTTCTTATTTATTTGATCGGCGACCGAGTCTCAAATTGTTTTGTGTGTGTACTTCGTTCTAATAAACAATCTGTATGAATTTTATTTAATTATCTAGTCTTTCGAATTTGGCACGAACCACTATCTTAACATTAGGACCTTTTTCTCTTCTTGCGTTTATTTAATTAATACTCTAAATATTCAAAAACTTTCAAAAATACCATATAATCGTTTCTTAAATATTTTAATTAATTGTTTCATCAAATTTTATATGAAGCAAGTTTCATATAGAATGACAAACGCTATTATATATAAAGTTAGAATCGTAGTCTTCGATATAATACCACGTATAGGGTATAGACAACGATGAACAAGAAAAAAGTGTTTAAAGCATTGATATCATAAACTGTCATAAAGTATCAAACTAAATAATAAATCACGATTTTGTATTGCAATTCACAGAACGACCGATTTGGCATCTCAATGATGGCTAGAGATAGCGTGCAAAATCACTAACGGTGATTTATCAGTGATCGCCGAATCATGATCACGGTCGTGATTTAACTTCATTTATGACCGTGATTGCGATTTTTTTATCTTGAGTGAATTTGCTCACTGCGATCATAAGTCCTTGATCTTTAAACAGAAAAACGTATTCAATATGATTTTACGATGAATTACATTACTATTCGTGTTTGTAAAAATCAGTAGAAAAAAAACAAAAAATTCTGAAAGAATGATTTGCTAGGTAACATGTAGATTATAATTTATAATCATTAATTTATTCATTATTCTTCATTGTTTCTCATTATTCCTTCACTGTATACGATACACCGACTAGGTATACAATACACCTATCATCCAATACTTTTTTCTGTCCCACGTTCATAGGGCTACGTACCCTGTTACCATTTTAGTGACAATACCCGACGTTACCGATAAAGCATGAATTCTAACTATTATTAGCACAAATGAACTGTTATATATTTCATTCATATTGCGTGTATTATATATCATTTGACGGGAATAAGAATGTCCGATGCTTCAGTTTAAGGTTAAGGGATAAATAAGACAGTCATGAAACATGAAACCAAAAAGTATATATTTTTCCATTTAACTACAAGACAATTTATTCTAAATGCATCGTTAATGGACATTTTATTAATGTTACTTTTTACATGTTCTTGTTATATTCGTTTTTATATCTTGCCTTATATTTGTATATTTGTAACAGATAAATTCAAAATAGATGTAGTTTCATAAATAGTTTATCAAATCTACCTTTTGGCCGGCGGCTTACAATATTCCTTGCGGGAATGCCCTACCGTAACGAGCCATCTCGTGCGAGCGAGAGCGGTAGAGCGAGCCGCGGTATCGGTGCTCTCCGTTGGACCAACGCGCTAGTTACGTTGCGTCACACAGTTTATTCACCTAGCCGTGTTTGGGTCGTTCAAGGAGGAAGGTCGTTCAAGCCGGCAAAAACAATTCAACTCGAACGAACGTGCAAAGAAACTAGCTGTTGCGTAATAACCTACGTACGCCCAATACATAACGGCGTTACCTTCCTCACTTACTCGTGAGCCGTCGCGGAGGGTGGGCGCGCGTCTCATACTTGTTCTTTCTCTTGTTACTAACCCATTGTTTGTTGCAGGTATTCGACAACCATCAATTTATTTACTGTGCATATTGTTGTGTCCCCTCTCTTGTTACTAATCCCTTGTATGTTACAGCTGTTCGAGAACGATTGGCTTCGATATTTATTTTCTTATGTACTGTGATTCATTTACTGTGATTTATTTACTCTGATTTCTATACTGTGATTTATTTACTGTGCATATTATTAATTTATTTATTGTATATATTGTTGTGTCCCCTCTTTTGTTACTAATCCCTTGTATTTTACAGATGTTCGAGAACGATTGGCTTCGATATTTATTTTCTTATGTACTGTGATTTCTATACTGTGATTTATTTACTGTACATATTATGTATTCTATGTGTATTGTATAATGAAAAATATTTTTCCAAACAGTTATTCCATCGAAAGAGGACATCGATCAACGTCTACATCTTCAAAGCGTGCGTCTACCACTGCGTTAAGTTACTGTAAGTTAAACTTAAATCATAATTCGATATTCGTTGTTATATTCATATTCATCATCACATCGCTTATTATTAATTTTAGTCTATCTATTAATAGACTTAAATTGTGATCAGCCATTGTGCATACCAAGTTAT